TCCCGAGGGGGCAAGTTTTCCAACAGGTTTCACCCCAGCACCTTGCGGGGCCGGGGATGAGGCAGCCAGCTCCCCCCCTTTCAACATAGCCCAGGTCTAGTCAGCAAGAATGTTTTAAAGTTTTTTGGTTTGTGGAAGTGTGAATTAGGCAAAATTTTCATGCAAACCAAATGGAAATTCTCTCCCTCCCTCCCCCACCCCCCGCCACACCTGGTGGTAGAGCAAATGGTTATCATAAGGTTAAGAACTTACCTATAATTCGTTCTGGAGGTCCGTTCTTAACCTGAAACTTTTTTTTTTTAAATAATATTTATTAAAGTTTCAAAGGAAAAAACAAAAAAATCACATTAGTAAAAAAAAATTAACAATGAAAAGGAAAAATACAAAGTAGAAAAAAAGAAAAAACAGTTAAAAACAATTCCATCTTTTCCTCACTTCTTTTACGTTTACTTGTTTCCCGGACCTCCTCATACCTCCCTCTTTTGTATTCCAATTAAATTTGTTAATCCAACAATTCCTTTCCCTCCTTTTTAATCCTAATCCTTAGTCCTGATATATTGTAACGTTAGATTTTACATATTAAAAACCAATTTTTCCATATTCTTTTGTACCTATATAGCTAGAAACCACTTAACTTCAATCCAACATCATTCTAACATTCATTAATTTTACAATATTTCTGTAAGTAGTCTTTAAATTTCTTCCAATCTTCTTCCACCAACTCTTCTCCCTGGTCTCGGATTCTGCCAGTCATTTCCGCCAATTCCATGTAGTCCATCATTTTCATCTGCCATTCCTCCAGTGTGGGTAGATCTTGTGTCTTCCAATGCTTTGCAATGAGTATTCTTGCTGCTGTTGTAGCATACATAAAGAAAGTTCTGTCCTTTTTAACACCGATTGGCCGACTATGCCCAGGAGAAAGGCCTCTGGTTTCTTCAAGAAGGTATATTTAAATACCTTTTTAGTTCATTATATATCATCTCCCAGAAAGCCTTAATCTTTGGGCACGTCCACCAAAGGTGAAAGAATGTACCTTCAGTTTCTTTACATTTCCAACATTTATTATCAGGCACAGTGATAGATTTTTGCAAGCTTGACTGGGGTTATGTACCACCTGTATATCATTTTCATAATATTTTCTCTTAAGGCATTACATGCCGTAAATTTCATACCTGTGGTCCACAACTGTTCCCAGTCAGCAAACATAATATTATGTCCAACATCTTGTGCCCATTTAATCATAGCAGATTTCACCGTTTCATCCTGAGTATTCCATTTCAACAGCAAGTTATACATCTTTGACAAAATTTTAGTTTTGGGTTCTAACAATTCTGTTTCTAATTTTGATTTTTCCACCTGGAAGCCGATTTTCTTGTCCAAATTGTATGCCTCCATTATCTGATAATAATGAAGCCAGTCTCGCACTTTGTTTTTTAGTTTTTCAAAACTCTGCAATTTCAATCTATCTCCATCTTGTTCCAAAATTTCCCAATATTTCGGCCATTTGACCTCCATATTGAGCTTTTTCAAGGCTTTCGCTTCCATCGGTGACAGCCACCTTGGGGTTTTATTTTCCAATAAATCCTTATATCTTATCCAAACATTAAACAATGCTTTCCTGACAATATGGTTTTTAAATGCTTTATGTGCTTTGACCTTATCATACCACAGATATGCATGCCATCCAAATACATTGTTAAAACCTTCCAAATCCAAAATGTCAGTGTTTTCAAGAAGCAGCCATTCTTTCAACCAGCAAAAAGCTGCTGATTCATAATAAAGTTTGAGGTCTGGCAGGGCAAATCCACCTCTTTCCTTTGCATCTGTTAGTATTTTAAATTTTATTCTGGGCTTCTTGCCCTGCCAGACAAATCTAGAAATATCTCTCTGCCACCTCTTGAAACAGTCCATTTTGTCCACAATTTGCAATGTTTGAAACAAAAACAACATTCTAGGCAATACATTCATTTTAACCGCAGCAATACGGCCCAGCAGTGAAAGCTTCAAATTTGACCAAATTTCTAAATCTTTTTCACTTCAGCCCAACATTTTTCATAGTTATCTTTAAATAAGTTCCCATTTTTGCTGTCAAGTTGATCCCCAAATATTTAACTTTCTTAACCACTGTTAAACCTGTCTCATTCTGAAACCTCTCTCTCTATTGGTGTTAAATTTTGCTCTAAAACCTTAGTTTTTACCTTATTCAATTTAAATCCTGCGACTTGACCAAATTCTTGAATCAATTCTAAAACCCTTTTGGTACTAGATTCTGGCTCCTGTAACGTCAGTACTAAGTCATCTGCAAATGCTCTCAATTTGTACTGTTTAGCTCCGACCTGTATACCTTTAACCAACTGGTCCCTTCTAATCATGTTCAGCAAAACCTCCAGGACCGAAATAAAAAGCAGTGGGGAAATTGGGCAACCTTGTCGTGTCCCTTTTTCTATCTTAAATTCTTCCGTCACCACATTATTTACAATTAATTTAGCCTTTTGTTCTGAATAAATTGCACTTATACCGTTTTCAAAGCCTTGGCCTACCCCCATACCCTGTAGGTTCTTCTTCATAAAACTCCAAGAAATATTGTCAAAAGCTTTCTCCGCGTCCACAAATATCAAAACTGCTTTAGTGTTTATATTCACTTCTAGTTTCTCCAAAATATCAATTATGTTCCTCATATTGTCAGACAAGTGTCTACCCGGAGAAAGCTCGCTTGATCTTTATGAATCTCTTCCATCAACACTTTTTTCAGTCTCTTAGCCAAAATGTCTGCAAAAATTTTGTAATCCACATTAAGTAATGATATGGGGCGGTAGTTCTTAAGCTGGGTCTTTTCAGTCTCTGTTTTCGGTACAAGTGTAATATAAGCTTCTTTCCACGACTCTGGTGCCCTTTTCCCCTCCATTATTTCATTACAGACCTCTTTCAAAGGTTGTACTAACCATTCTTTCAAGGATCTGTAATATCTAGAAGTCAGTCCATCCGGTCCTGGAGATTTACCCAATTGCATATTTTGAATGGCACCTTCTATCTCCTGTTCAGTTATTTTATAGTTCAACATTAATTTATTTTCTTGAGAGATTTTTTGTAATCCGTTTGTTTTCAAAAATCGATCTACATCAGTTTCTTTCAGTGGCCCTTGTGTATATAATTGTTTAAAGTACCTCTGGAAACAATTTCTAATCTCAGCTGGGTTCTGTATATTCCTTCCTTCCACTTCTAAATTTGTAACTGTATTTAATTTTTGTCTTTTTTTCATTTGCCAAGCCAGCAATTTCCCACATTTATTAGCCGACTCGAATGTCTTTTGTCTCATTTGTTTAATTTTCCATTCTATCTCCTGATCCATCATTTTCATATATTGCACTTGATATAACTTTATTTCTCTCAGAATCTCTTGAGACTTTGGTTTTGTTCTCAATCTTTTTTCACTTTCCTTTATTTATTCCAATATTTTGTCCTTCTTCTCATTTTGAATTCTCTTCTTTAATGCATTCTGTTGTATCAAGAACCCTCTCATAACCGCTTTACTTGCGTCCCAGATTACTCTTTTTTCCACATTGGTGCTCATATTTATCTCAAAATAGTCTCTCAAGGTTTTTTGGGCCTTCTTAAGCACTTCTTCATCTCTAAATAAGGTGTCATTCATCCTCCATCTAAAGGAACCAGTTGGTGTTAATTTCATTTCCATCTTAACAGCATTATGGTCGGAGCAGGTTTTCGGGCAGATTTCCACCTTTCTTGTCTTTGGTGCCATTCCTCTAGTTACCCATATTTGGTCAATTCTTGTCCATGTCATTTTGGCTTCAGAAAAGAAGGTTCCCTCTTTAGCCATGGGGTTCCTTGTTCTCCAAATATCAACTAAGTGCAAGTTGTCTGTCATCTCAAAAAAGGTTTTTGGTAGTCTACCATCCTTAGTGACTACCTGTCTTTGTGCCTTGTCCATATGTGTAGATACCACTCCATTCATGTCTCCCATCAAAATCATGTTATAATCCAGATAGTCCATCAGAGTCTCATGCAACTTCTTAAAAAATTCAGATTTCCCCTCATTTGGTGCGTAGATTCCTACTATCAAAAATTTTTCTCCTTGTGTTTGAATTTCAATTGCCACAAATCTTCCTTGGTCATCTTTAAAAATAAACTGAAACTGTTCTTAACCTGAGGTACCACTTTAGCTAATGGGGCCTTCTGCTGCCGCCACACCACAGGAGCACAATTTCTGTTTTCATCCTGAACCAAAGTTCTTAACCCGAGGTACTATTTCTGGGTTAGCTGAGTCTGTAACCTGAAGCGTCTGTAACTCGAGGTACCACTGTATTGCTTCTTGTTGCATCACATCCAACTATCCCAGCTTCAGTTCTTAGCATCTCTGGGCAGGGCAGCGAAAGTCTCTTTGTTAGGACTGCCCTGTGAGCAACAGTCAGGTGACTGAGGAGCCAGGAACCAGGGGCAATGGGACAAGCCAGTAGTCAGGACCAGAGAAAAAGCCAGGAGGCAGAAGCAAAGATCAGTTTAGGGGAATAATAATAATAATAATAATAATAATAATAATAATAATAATTTATTATTTATACCCTGCCCATCTGGCTGGGCCTCCCCAGCCACTCTGGGCGGCTTCCAAAAAAATATTAAAATACTGTAATACATCAAACATTAAAAGCTTCCCTAAACAGGGCTGCCTTCAGATGTCTTCTAAAAGCCTGGTAGTTGTTGTTCTCTTTGACATCTGGTGGGAGGGCGTTCCACAGGGCAGGTACCACTACCGAGAAGGCTCTCTGCCTGGTTCCCTGTAACTTGGCTTCTTGCAGTGAGGGAACCGCCAGAAGGCCCTCGGTGCTGGATCTCAGTGACCGGGCAGAACGATGGGGGTGGAGACACTCCTTCAGGTATACTGAACTGAGGCTGTTTAGGGCTTTAAAGGTCAGCACCAACACTTTGAATTGTCCTCGGAAATGTACTGGGAGCCAATGTAGTTCTTTCAAGACCAGTGTTATATGGTCTCGGCCATGGCTCAGTGGCAGAGCATCTGCCTTGGATGAAGAAGGTCCCAGGTTCAATTGCTGGGAAAGACTGCTGCTCTGAATCCCTGGAGAGCCACACTATAAGCCCTGGTGGCTGGCAGTGGCATAGCATGGGTTGCCCGGGCCCAGGCAAATATTGTGCCCCCAGTGGCAAAGATGAGTATGTGCTCGCAGATAGGTATGCTTTAAGTTTGCACCACAGAGGAATCAAATTCAACAGTTGCACCAGCAGAAACACGCCATGCAACAGATTGCAGAGTCTATTGAGAAACAAAGTTACCAGCGCTTGTGCAACCATAGTGGTCTACTGGAGTAAAATATTTCACCAACGGAATAGATATCCCACTAAGTGACTTTAACTTGGCCCTACAGTTGATACAACCCATTGTTCCAAGCACACCCAGTTTCCCTAATAGCAAGCCTTTAACTAGTAAGTGGTACTTTAGCCCCAGAAGTCCTGGACCTCTGTCAGTGATCAAACTTGCTATTTTAGTTCCAACTTTGCCAGTCACACTGCCGGGGCTAAATAAACTCCTAGGACATTTCCCCCTGCAGTAGATAACCTCCGTTTGTTTCTTCAGAATGAAAGAGGAGGAAATGATGTGTATGCACAGTCCCCAGGGAGATTCCAGCTGAATAGATCTTCCTTTACCAATTTCAATCCGCGCTATTTATTAAAGTGGGTCTCATTTCTACAAAAGCACTTTGAACTGGTATTGTGGGCCCTTAACACTTGCAGGAAGATACTGTAGAATCAGAATCCACCCCCCTCCCCCCACCCCTCAAGCTCACAAAGTGCTTCTGGCTACGGGTGAATGTGTGATAGCCTTCGAGGAGGGGAAGTTGTCTGAGCAGAACTGACCCAAGGTTTCAGGCTGCCTGAAGCGGGTCCCAAGTAAGCCCCCTCCCTGCTTGCTAGGGCCAACACTTTAAAATGTCTTCTTGTGCTATATAGACACCAATCCCTGCCTTCATCTATGCCTCCTCCCCATGCTGGGCCACCTCAACCATCATTTCATCCTCCTGCACGGAAGGACCAGCCAAGGCTTACTAGCCATGATGGGCTTAGGTCTGTTGTCAGAGGCAACATGGCTCTGAATGCCAGTGCTGTTGTACTCATTTCCCACTTGTGGGTGTGATGGCCTGGGACTCGGGCTCGGGCTCGGAACCAGAGGGGTCTCAGTCCGCACTGGATCCTTTGCCTCAGGTGGCATCTGGACCAAGTCTAGGGCCTTATTCTGAAGAGCCCCAGTCTGCACAGGTTCCCCTGAAACAAACACCAGCTGGGCTGAGTCAGGGGCCTGAGCCTGCCCTGGCTCCAGATGCCGGGATGACCTCGTTGCCTTCAGCTGGGCAATCACTTACAGCTGCTCCACTCAGGGGAGGCTGAGGCGGTCCCTGGGTCTAGTAACCCGCAGATGTCTCCCGACTGCAGAGACTAAGGTCTGAGAGGAGGAGAGACCTGAGTACTCGCAGGAGGAGTGCTCGCCTTCGGGCGAGACAGGGAGGTGAGTCACTGGGGGATCAGGACCGGCCGTTACCCCAACAAAGATAAAAGGATGTCAGACCCTGCCCCAGGTTGCAGGAGCAACATTGCTGTTTACTAGAACCTGCCTGAGACCCTGTGCCAGACCTAGCCTGGTTTCCTGCCTTGTGTCCTGCCTGGGCCCTGTTGGACTGACTCCTTGTGGAATCCTTGCATTCGGGACCGGAACCTGGACTGCATTGCTTGGGTTAACCCCTGGGCCCAGCACAGTGGGCTTCCCAAGGGCATTTGGTTGGGCACTGCAGCAACAGCATGCTGGACTAGATGGGCCCCTGGCCTGATTCAGACTCTTCTTACATTGGTATTCTGTAGCTATGTTGTCACTGGGAAGCAAAAGCCCTTGGAGGGCTGGTTCTTTGTTAGCTTGTGCACTTTGATTTCAGTGCATATGACCATCTGCAGCTGAATAAAGCACTTAAGGAAACTCAACATTACTGATTAGCTGCGGGGCTTATTTATTTGCTGGTAGGAAGCAGAAAGCAGAAAACAAAAACCCACAGATGTTCTCTCTCTGCATGTGCACGTGCGCGCAGAATGGTGGAATTGTTAAATGTTTGCTTTTCCAGATGTTTCTTTGCAGATTGAGGCCATTCTTCCACATCTACCCCCCCCATGGGATTGCATGCAGTGCTAGTCTTACTCAGAGTAGACTCATTGAATGAAGCAAACATAAATACATACATTGTGTGGCAGCACCTACCCTTGGAAACTCCTTCCCATTTATACTTCACCTTTCCCCCAAGTGTCTCAAGGTGGTTAACACAGGTCTACCCCTTGCCATTTAAACTCCACAACAACCCTGTGAGGTTGGTTAGGCTGAAAAGCAATGACTGGCCCAAGGTCACCACTTCATGGCTGGGTGGGGATTTGAACCCCGATCTCCCAGGTCCTACTGCAATTTTCTAACCACTACGCTGCACTGTCTGCCTCATTTCAGACTATCTTTTCACGACCCATTGAAGACTTTCCTCTTTCAACGCCTTCTGAGTAGAGATTTTGGGTTTGTTCAGTAATCTGAGCTGGTACCTGCAATGGATTTGAATTGACTGTATATGCGTTATTGATGTTGCTTTTTTTTAAAAAAAATTGTTCTCATCTCTATAATTAGCTTTTAATTGGTTTTTATCTATTCAAACGCTCTGCATATGTTTTTCAGTACACTGTAAATCACTTTGAGCTGCCTCATGGGAAGTGAATCACAAATTAAATAAATGAAGTGAAATGGAAAATAATAATAAGGGAACCAATATGTGTTTGCTTCATTTGCTGGAGAGGAGTTGATCCTATTCCCATTATGCTCAAGAGAAGGGTTGTAGCTCAGTGGCAGAACATCTGCTTTGAATGCAGACGGTCCCAGGTTCAAATCTTGGTGTCTCCAGATAGGGTTTGTTTATTTATTTCCCACCTTTCTTCCAAGGAGTTCAAGGTGGCGCAGGTGGCTCTCCCTCTCCCCACTTTGCCCCACAACAGCCCTGTGGGGTAGGTTAGGCTGAGAGACAGGGGTTGGTCAATGGTCACTCAGTGAGCTTCAAGGCTGGAGTGGCGGATTTGAACCCTGGTTTCCCAGGTTTCAGTCTGACATTCTAACCACTCTACCACACTGCCTTAAATCCTGGGAAGCTGCTGATGGTCAGTGTAGACAATACTTGAACTAGATGAACTCAATGGTCAGACTTTGTATAAGACGCTCCCTGCGTCCCTGTGGAAGACATCTTCAAAGCAGTCCTTGACATTGTGTTTTCTTGACAGGTTTTGATGTCCTGGCCCAAGCGTCGCATTATTGGCCTCTGGGGGCTGTGGAAGGAATCCATGAGTTGCGAGACGCAAATGGAGGTAGATCGAAGAACGGTGATTCCCCAATCCCTTTAGAGTGATTTAATTCTTTTTGAAATTCAGAGTGTAAGAAAGCAAGGTTGAGAAACACTGGCTTTGTGGGCTACCCACTTGTGTTTGTCAATTGGCCCAGCAAATGTTTTGGACCCAAATGACCTTTTCTGTTGGCATTTCAAACCACAGACTCCACTGATCTTTGGTGGGGAAAGAGGCGGGCTGGTGACCCACACAGAACTATGTTTTCAAAGACAATATTGGTGGGTGGGCAACCTCATGAGCCAAACTGAAACATTGATGATGGGTTTGCAGGGGCAATGATAACCAGCTGTGTTGTGTGTGCTTAAAAATTAGTGCAATACCAAGTGGTGCCTCTGTCACCACTTGGTATTAATAAAGCTATGCATTATTAACACAGTTTGAGGGTATTGGGTGTGTGGGTCTCTGGGGTAATGCATGTTTGCCCCACGTCTGAAAGTGGTCTTCCTCCATCCCCCAATCCCAAGAAGGCTTTTGTTCATGCTGTCCTTTAGATCCTGCACTGAAACTCATTTGTGTTTGTGGACTGTGGTTGGATTTTTGTGTGTGTTATGTAAATATAGGCACAAAGCATGCCTTCTGCCTTCTGATGATGCTCCCTGTGATTCGTGTTTGGATTAGGAATGTAAGCACCCCAGGCTGGTTCACAAATGCATGGTAATTGCACTTGACTTGGTACCCCATCACGAGATTTATCCAGCGTTTAGGCTGGTCCACAGAAGCAGAAATAGCAATGAGGGAGGCTTGGACAGAACCACTTTTGACTTCAGGGTGCACGTGTGGGTTGAACGCTCATAAAAAGATGCATGTCAGGGAGACGTGTGTCCTGGTCTAAACCTCCTCTCAGGGCATGCTAATTTTCTGTGTGGAGTTGTTCACCCAATACATACAATGTGTAGTGTTCAGTTGTCTCTCACCACCACCACCACATGAAGTGGTATAGTTCAGAAGTCCTTTGACCACTTCATCTCCCATTAAGACTGAACCTTGAAGGTAGCAGGCGAATATATGAATAGGGACCCCCACCCTCTCCAATGAAATGTGTTGATTCTGTGTCAACTTCCCATGATCTAAAACTTTTCTTTATGGCAACTGATACTCTGTGATGGCTCATTCAGACATGCAACAAGTTACTCCTTGATTAAATGAACAATGAGCATGCAGCGTTTGAAATTTGCTTGGTGCCAGGCACATTTTGCACCTGGCTATTGGCCACTTTTGGCGGGATGCGGGTGGTGCTGTGGGTTAAACCACTGAGCCTAGGACTTGCCGATCAGAAGGTCGGCGGTTCAAATCCCCGCGACGGGGTGAGCTCCTGTTGCTCAGTCCCTGCTCCTGCCAACCTAGCAGTTCGAAAGCACGTCAAAGTGCAAGTAGATAAAAAGGTACCGCTCCATCGGGAAGGTAAGCGGCGTTTCCGTGCGCTGCTTTGGTTCACCAGAAGGGGCTTAGTCATGCTGGCCACATGACCCGGAAGCTGTACGCCGGCTCCCTCGGCCAATAAAGCAAGATGAGGTCCGCAACCCCAGAGTCGGCCACGACTGGACCTAATGGTCAGGGGTCCCTTTACCTTTATTGGCCACTTTGTGAAGATGCCCAGGTGTCAAGGTGGCACCTGACACCTCTACCATCTGGAGGTACATGCCTGAGGATCTTGACTATTTCCACACACTAGCAACGCATTCTTTGGAATTCTATCTGTGATATTTTAGCTGCACAATCGTAATGAATTTCAGGAACCAAAAAGTCATATTGAAAAATACAACTTTCAAGCTCTCTGCCCGCCGCCCCAATGGCAGCTAGGCCTTCTGTTTTGGCAACTGTAACCCCGGTTTAAGGAGCCATTTGACGCCTAGCTTACATATCTGAGTTTCTAATACTGCGAAGCATGCATATGTGAACCAGGACTAAGGTTGCAAAACCTACACACACCTCACACAGGAGCAAGTGCCATTGAACTCAATAGGCCTTATTTCTGAGTAGACAGGAATAAGATGGGGCTGTATTTATTGTTTTGGTTGTGTAAAGTCATAACAGCAGGGAGCCTGCTTGGACATGGATGTGGAACCTGTGGCTGGCTGGATGTTGCTGGGCTACAGCTCTCGCCATCCCTGACCTTTGGGGCTGATGGGAACTGTAGTCCAATAGCACCCAGAAGCCGCCTGGCTCTCCAGCCCTGTCCTAGAAGGTCTCCTTTGATGGATGCCGCAGCAGCAAAATTGCTGCTTTGATACCACTCTCTGATTACATGCATCTCTTCCTTCGGTAGCCAAAGAGTCTTTCATGTTTTATTTACTTGTACCCACCCACCTCAGCCTTCGCATCCGCCATAAGTCCCACGCAGTTGTGTTTTTTTCACTCCATGTTTCCCGCTCATCAATCCTCAGAGCGTCATAAGCTTGCATTTCATGTTAATCCATTTCATTTGTTGAAATCTTTGTGTGGCTGTAAATCCAGGTCTGTATCTCTCAATTGCTTGTTTCTGCAGATACCAGCATCACCAGACTGGCTTTTTTTAGATACATGCATAGATAGATAGATTAGATGGATAGAAGTGATACATATATATATATACACATTTTGGAGGTGACTTTGATGCAAGGTATCTCTGTGTCATAGGGGGGAAATAGTGGAGCAGCAAGTAAAATTTTTACTGTAACACTTAAATGGCTATTTGCTATGAAATCAGTGGAGTCTGGGTCCATTGGTGCCAGTGGGGCACTGCCCCACCAACCTCACTGTGCCCTTGTCCTCCTGTCCTCCTGCTTACAACCAGACCACAGGGTACCACTGGTGGCTGTTAGCCTCCTCTGCCTTGCTCTTGGTGTTGCCTTTGTGGAACTCAACAGAGGATGGGAATGAAAGCAGACTTAACTGGCTCTGGGTGTCATTGGATCTGACTCCACCTGCTGTGGTCCTCCAGTCTCACCAGTCTTGATGAGAATCAGCCCCCACTGATCTACATGGGAGTTCCCGAGTCAAGCGCCAGTACCATTCTCTCTCTTGGCTGCAAGAGCCATTGCTTATTTAGCCGAAATGGCACCACCCATCCACACAAATGAGGTGTTGGTTGCCTTTTGGGGGGAACACCAAAGTTTTTAGAACTTGTTCAGTGTTGTCTGCACTGACTGGCAGACAATTGGGGTTTCAGGCAATTCTAGAGGTCTATCTAGAGATCATAGAATCCTAGAATTGTAGAGTTGGAAGGGATCCCAATTCTCCTCTAGTCCAACCCCCTGCAATGCAGGCATCTCAACATGTGGTCTCCCATCCAATTTGAAACCATACTGGATCCTGCTTAGCTTTGAAAACATGCCAGCCGTTTTATTGCTGCACCACTATGTGGCAGGGGTTGGACCTGGAAGATGCTTTGTCATTTAGGTCAGATCCCAACCATACCCTGTTTTCTAGCCAAGAAGGACAGGGAAAGCAGGCGTAGCGCTCCTTGACATGGCTGGTGCGAGGTTTGCCTTTGCAAAGCGGAGCGTTACCTCCACAAAGGGCGAGGCAGCAGGGCAGGTGGTGCAGGGCAAATGCATGAATGGAACCAATCCAGTGTGCCTGCCAGTACATTAGCACCGCGACACCCTCCGTGCCACCTCCCCTTCTCTCTCCTGGTAAGCAGTTCTGCCCCACCAAGCCATCTGCTGCTGAATGTGCTCGCTGTCCCCAATCTGGGTACAATCCCCCAGGAGGAGCTTTCACTACTTTACTGTTCATTCCCCACATTGAGAGATACAGACTGGCTGATTCATATTCATCTTGCATTTATTCATTGTGTTGCTTTTCTCTTTTTTTTTTGTCTTTTGTCGTTCCACCCAGCTTTAAGATTCCACAACTTCACTGTGCTTCCTTCCCATAATTCTACTTTTGTATATACCAATGATTCTGCCTACTCTAACTTCTCTGCAACTGTAGGTGAGGATTCAGTACGATTCTTCTGCATTTGTCACTCTCGGGCCATTCTGAATAATGCTGTAAGCTAGATGTGGTTTTAAAGCAGGCACTGTTTTTCTTTAAAAATTATTTTAAATCTGTATGGTTTTAAATGGAAATTCTCCCTCTCAAAACAGAGTATAAAGGAGTCTCTTTGTGGGTATGCAGGTTCAGTAAATGATACTCCAGTAAGTCCAGGGGAGACCAAACAGGGTGATGATTAGGTCTAACTATGGTTTGTGGCCTTAACTCTGGTTACAATATCAAAAAATACTGTGAAACCATGGTTGGCTAAGCTGCATTCTGCTGCCCCAGAAACCATTTACTGAAGGCATAGGCAAACTCGGCCCTCCACATGTTTTGGGACTACAATTTCCATCATCCCTGACCACTGGTCCTGTTAGCTAGGGATCATGGGAGTTGTAGGCCAAAAACATCTGGAGGGCTGAGTTTGCCTGTGCCTGATCTACTGTATGCTTCAGCTTGTAGTAAATGATACTTCAGTAGGTCCAGGGGAGACAAAACAGGAGGATGATTAGGTCTAACCAAGGGTTGTGGCCTTAACTCTGGTTA